AGGGCGAGGTTAGGGAGGCCACAAGGCGTTCTTGTACCTTTAAAAAGCGATCCCAGATACGACTCAGGAGACATGATGAGTCCATTAACATGCATGCTGCTCCCAGTTTCTCTCTGGCTCTCAGGAAACTCAACTCCCACCCCAGCTTCCTGGAGTCGAGGAGGATCCAGTGGGACCTATCCGAGAGTCCCATGGGGCCAACCCAGGTGTCCCTCCACAGAACTGGATGGAAAGTCAGAGAGACTAAAAGCCCCTGGCTGTGGGCTTGGTCAGGGGCAGCCAAGATCACCAATGAACCTCAGTGGAAGGAGAAGGGCCATGAACCAGCCATTCTGTGGAGCCACGACTGGCCCACCACTCTGCTCCCTTCTTCTTCCTAGGCCACCAGAGTCCGCTCACTCCCGTGCCTGTGGGACCAAAGCCCACTGAGGACAGAGGTGGGTTCTCCTGGTGTTACTGATCATCACTGGGCCCTGGAACAGAGGGGGCGTAAGTGGATGGATGTCTGAAGGACAGAGGAATGAATGGGCCCCCAGTCTCCTCTCCTGAGCCATGCGGAGCCCCTGGGGCCTTCCCGGCTGGCCGCCCCTGTGTCCTTGCGGAGCTGGGCCAGTGCAGGGCGGGCAAGCGGGGTGTCACAGACCAGGGTGGCCCGGAGCTGTCAGGCGGGCGAGCAGGCGCCCATGGCATCCACTCCCTCCAGCTTGGCTCTGGCCTGGTTCCTCAGGGCACGAACAGGTCTGACGAGTTCCTCAGCAGCGGAGACCTTGATTTCCAGGAAAGCCAAACTCTTAGAGAGCAGAAAGAACAAGGCCTGGGCGGAGAGAGGGCTCTTTTGGAATACTGCTTCTCCTCTGCCGCGGGCCTTCCCCAGCCCCTGCTCGCAGACCTTGCCCTCGTGATCTGAGCCGGGAGCTCCGGGCTGATGGGCACACCTCTCTCTCCACCTCCCCCAGAGGCAACGAGGGCTCAGTCCCTCCCTCCCCGCCCCCCCCCAACCAATCCCACTGCATCAGCCGGTAGTGTGGGGTAGAGCTTACGGGTGCAGGCTCAGAGCCGGGCTGCCTGGGTTCCCCTCCCAGCCCCACCAATGACCTTGGGCAAGCTCTGTCCTCCCTCTCTGGTCCTGCGCTCACGCTCACGTGGCTGAGATGCCGAAGAGCACGTGCAGACCTCAGCCTGGGGCCTGGCACTTCGGATCCCACGTTGTTGGCATTTCTCCACCCGATCTTCTCCCTCGGGTCTCACCTCCCAGCCTGCTGACCACCGGTCTCTGCCTGGTCTTCCTCCGGCTCTAAGGGCTCAGGGTTACTCCGTGGACTCTTCTGGTCCCGCTGCCGGCTATCCCTTCACAAGCTAGACCCAGGTCCTCCCAGAGCCCTAGACATAGCATCCATCTGCCTCTTGCTCCTCACTACTCACACCCCACAGCCCCAAACTGAACTCAGCATTTCTTCCCGGAGCCACTTTTCCTCCGAGTCCTCCCCCCTACCCAGGGCATGGCACCATCAGTCACCAAAGCCATGTCCCCACGGCTCCCCCTGATGCCCATCATCTTTACCCTATCTCCTGATCATACTGTCTTTTCTCTTTTCCTCCCTCCCCCGCTAACTTCCTCTCTTTCCTCTTTCTTTCTCCCTCCTTTTCCTTTTTCTTGCTCCCTTCCTTCCTGTTGGGATAGAACATAAATATAGTAAAGTACATTAACAGCTCGAATCTTAAAGGTACCGTTTGATCACCTTTCATGTCTATACCTGAGTACCTGCCACCAGATCAAGACATGGAGGATTTTCATCTCCCACAAGTTTCTCTCATGGCCCTTCACCACCCCAGAAATAACCATTATTCTGCCTTCTGTCTCCATAAATTAGCTTCACCTGATTTTGAACTCCACATAAGTGGAATCAAAAAATATGCACTCTGAAACATCGAGTTGGATGGATTGGAAATGAGAGTCCAGATATAAACCCATACAACTCTGATGAGTTCATCTTTGACAAGGATGCCAAAACCACTCAAAGAGGGAACAGAGTCTCACTCTTCCAAATCCTGGAAGAACTGGATATCTATAGGCAAAGAATGAAGCTGGACCCCTACTTCACACCATAAACAACAACAACAACAACAACAACAAAACCCTCAAGATGTCTCATTGTCCTAAATGCAGAAGCTGAAACTATAAAACTCTTAGAAGAAAGAACAAGCATTAAAGAACACTATTAAGAAAGTGAAAAGAGAATCCACAGAATGGGAGAACATTTTTGCAAATCATGTATCTAAAGAACCTAGTATCAAAATATATAAAGAACTCTTATAGCTCAGCAACCAAAAAGATAAATAACCCAATTTAAAAATGGGCCATAAAGCTGAAAAGACATTTTTCAAAAAAAAAAAATATATAAGAATGGTCAATAAGAACATGATAAGATGCTCAGCATCATCAATCGTTAGGGAAATGCAAATCAAAAACAAAATAAAATGCCACTTTACATCCACTAGGAGGGCTATTTAAAAAAAAAATCAGTGGGACGCCTGGCTGTCTCAGTTGATAGAGCGTGCAACTCTTGATCTCAGGTTGTGAGTTCAAGTCCCACATTGGATGTAGAGCTTACTTAAAAAAAATTTTTTTTTTAATTTAAAAAAGAAAAAAAAAACAAAAATAACAGTGCTGGTGAGGATGTGAAGAAAGTAGAAGAATTTCGAACATTGCCAGTGGGCATGTAAAATGGTGCAGTCACTTTGAAAAGGTGCTTTGAAAAGCAGTTGAGCAATTCCTGGAAAAGTTAAATATAGAGTTACTATATGACCCATCAATTTCACTCCTAGAAGAGAATAAAAAAACATGCTCATATAAAAACTTGCACATGAATGTTCACAGCTCTGTTATTCATAATAGCCCCAAAGTGGGAACATCCCTAATGTCCATCAAGAGATGACTGGGTAAACAAAATGTGGTCTAGCCATACAATGGAATGTTATTCAGCTATAAAGAGGAAAAATACCACAACACAGACGAACCATGGAAACATTATGCGAAGAAGCCAGACACCAAAGGCCATATACCGTATGACTCCATTTATATGAAATGTCTAGAATAGGCAGATCCATAGAAAAAGAAAGTAGATTGGGGGTTGTTGCGACTTGGCACAGAAAGGGATGAGGAGTGACTGCTAATGGGTTTTTTTGGGGGGCAATGAAAATATCCTGGATATGGATAGTGGTGACAGCTGCCCAGCCCTGTGAGTATACTAAAAGCCACTGAATTATATACTTTAAAATGATGGATTTTATGGCATATGAATTATATCTTAATAAAAAAGTTATTTTTAAGTATGCTATCATTTTATTTATTTTTTTTATTTTTTTTTTAAAGATTTTTATTTATTTGACAGAGAGAGAGACAGCAAGAGAGAACACAAGCAGGGGGAGTGGGAGTGGGAGAAGCAGGCTTCCCGCCGAGCAGGGGCCTGCCACTCCCCCTGCTTGTGATTTCTCTCTCTGTCAGATAAAAAAAAAAAAATCTAAAAAAAAAAAAAAAGATTTTATTTTTAAGTAAGCTCTATCCCCGACATGGGGCTGGAACTCACAAGCCTGAGATCAAGATCATCGTCTTGTTTCCAATTTGGGACTCTTATAGATCTGTGAGCGCTCACACTTGTCTTTCGAAGGACATGTGATGGGCATTTCTGGAGGTCTCTGTGTAGGAGTGGGAGTGCTAGGTCAGGAAATGTATCCATTTTAACTTCAGGAGGAAGTGCTGCCCCAGTCTGCAAAGGGGTTGACCCACTTCATGCTCCTGCGACCCAACTTCGAGAGTTCTGTTTGTTCTACATCCTTGCCAACACTTGGCGTTGTCAATCTTTTTAACTTTAGCCATTCTGGTGAGTGTGTTCTGTAAGGAGGTTTTCATTTGCATTTTCCTTACAAGCATTGAAGTTGAGCATCTTTTCAGGTCTTTCTTGGCCATTTGGAGACTATTTTTTGGCATTTACTTGTGTGTGCGGTTGTTAGCTTTCCATTAAGGATGTGTAGGATTTTAAAAAAATGTTTCTCCATGAAACATCTTTTTTTTTTTTTTTAAAGATTTTATTTACTTATTTTTGAGAGAGAGAGGGAGAGTGTGTGAGCAGCAGCAAGGGGAGGGGCAGAGGGAGAGGCAGGCTCCTCACTGAACAGGGAGCCCAACATGGGACTCCATCCCAGGACCCTGGGATCATGACCTGAGCCGAAGGCAGACGCCTAATGACTGAGCCACCCAGGCGCCCCTAGGACTTTTTAAAAGTATATTTGGGCTATGAATTCTTTGTCAAAATCTATTCCCAACACTGGGCTTTGCCTTTTCACACTCTTCAACGTGTCTTTCGCTGAGGGGAAATGTTTACTTTTGATGAAGTCCAACTTAACGCATTTTCATTTTGTGGTTGGTGCGACATGTGTCCTCTTTAAGGAATCCTCACCTGCTCCTTAAACATCTCTTGGCTCCGCCCCCTCGTGTCTACCTTCTTGGCCTCTGCCCAGCTCCTAGGGAGCATTGCTCTGACCCCTCTCCCCGTGCCCCCACCCCACTTCTTGCCCTGCTCACTGCACCACCTTCCGGCCCAGGGACAGGGTTGGCTCGTCTGTGTGTCCCCCGGACCGGCACGGGGCTTTGGCACGCCCTAGGTGCTCAATAAAAGCTTCCTAAATGAAGGCATGTCCCGTGGCCTAGCTGGGGATCACTAAAACGGTCAATTAGTTCTAAACACCAGCTCCTCAGGAACATTTGAGCAAAGCCGGGGAAGTAAAAAAGTTTTGGAAAAACCAACAACGCAGGAGTGTTTCGCTTTCTCCCCAACCGGAGCATTCATCACGAAAACTCAGGCCTGGTTAGCATTCTTTATTCTCGCTTTGCCCCTGAGCTGCAGGGCGAGGGGAGCCTTTCCTTTGCACATGTTGGCTGTAGGGGGCTCCCCAGGCGTCACCCCCAAAACATGGCAGGTGTTTGCTGCCTCCAAGTGTTGGGGGGTCCCTGGCCTAGCACAAGTTCTGGTAATCCAGGTTACCACACATATCTGGCGGGAAAGCCGCAAACATCTGCTTGACCTGGGGAAGGAGCAGGGAGTCAGCCTGGACTCGGGTGGAGGGGGGACCAGAGCCGGGGGAGGTGTCACCCGAGGGCGTCAGGCAGAACGTGGCTCCCCTCTCTGCAGATGGAGGCAGGGATGGCCACGGGCCTGCAGTCAGCCCCACTCATCCCTGTCATCGTCCAAGGAGTCAGAGGGGTCATCATGTCGGCATCTAAAGAAGAGCCATCTCTCGGGGAGGGGCTGCTGAGAAGGGCCTGGGCCGGGCAGGACCTCCCCCGGAAGATTCTAGGCAGTGTCCCGGAAAACCCGTACTCACCTCCTCCTCACTGAACCGGTCGGCCTGGGTCATGAGCTTCTCTTTCATGCTGCTCAGGGGGAAGAGGAAGGGTCAGGTTCAGGGGAAGGGCCACCCCCGGTGTGCACATGCAGATCCCGGGGTGTGGGGGGGTGAGAGCGGACAGGTGGTGGGGAGGCGTTGTGCCCCAGGAGGACGCCGGCCAGATGTCTGTGCGGCCTCAGATGGACCTCTCGATCTCTTCTAGATGCACTGCTGGTTCAGCCAGGGACTTGCGCGGACATGTGCATCGTGCCTTCGAGCGTACAAGGGGCTTGCACTCGGCCGAGGCATGAGAAAGCCTTGCCCAGGTCTCCTTTGCTCCTCGTAGACCTGGGAAGCCAGGGCTGTGAGCCCCCTTCACAGAGAAACTGCTGAGGTTCGGGAGATGTCAGGACCGGCAGTGACAGTGTGGGGCCAGAGCTGCCCGGGGGCCTGGAGGAGCGGCAGGAGGTGACGCTCCAGAGGCCTGATGCCCCGGGAGCTTGGAGGGCTCCCCCCACCTGGCCTCTCGGGGGGCACAGCGGGCAGGGAAGGGATCAGAGGGCCGAGCCAGGCCTGAGCGCCGCTAAGGACCGACGTGCATTTTCCATTATTTATGTTACTGTGGGACAGTCACAGTTTCCGACTCTCTGAGCTGGGGACTGTTCACAGACTCCGCTTCAGCCAGAGCCTCCTCTGTGGCCTGCCTGGCGGGCAGCCACGTCTTCTGGGTCCGATAGCCCCAGGGCTGAGGCCTTCGGTTCCCAAACTGAGTCCCTGAAGTGTTCCTGGCCTGGTGTTGGGGGGAGTGAGGGTGCGTGCCAGGAGAGGGGTTGGTCCAGACCACTCCCGGGGCTGCCCTCAGTGTCTCCTGGGGGTCCCCAAGATGGCTGTGGGAAACATGGACCCTGAGGGAGGGGTGAAGGAGAGGGCCCCAGCCTGCAGGAACCCTGAACAACCCCTCACCTACCCCTGGGGGCCATGTGCCTCACAACTTTGGGGGGTGGGGGGTGGCGAGAAGGTGTGAGAGACAAGATGGACCTTCCCTGGTTTCCCCCCCCCCCCCCCCCGCCCTCTCCTGCCCTCCCCCGCCCTCCCCTGCCCTCCCCCGCCCGCCCCCATTATGGGATGATTCTAGCGGGCAGCAAATCTAGCCTCAAAGCCAAGGCCTCAAGCATCACAGTAATCAGTCGGGAAGCATGTGCCTGGGGAGGAAATTCTGCCTGCCCCAGGCCACCCACAGGCCCAGTGAGACCTCGGAGGCTCTGAAGGGACTTCCCCGGGGACAGCTCAGTGTCCTAGCCCCTGGGCAGGCTGCCCCACCCACCAACCTCGGCTCTGCTCAGTGCTCTCACTGGGCTGAGGCACAGAGGACATCGGGGTCCCCACCTCCGTGGTGCCAGCCCAGTGGCCCCCAGGGCAGACCCGGAGTCCAGGGCCTGTTGCATGAGCTGCCCCACACAGACCCTTTCTGTGCTCAGCCTCTCCCACCCAGTTTCCCCCATGCCCTCCAGCCGCCCCCTTACCAGCCCCGCAAACGCCAAGCCCTGTCCCTTCACAGCTATGTTCTGGCATCTAGAATGTTCCCTGCCCCAGCCTAGGCAACCCTTCGTTGCCCTTCAAGGCCCACCTCTACCACTGGGAAACCCACCCCTGGTGACCCCACACTCCCTATACACTTCCACACAGAAATGGGGACACTGGGTCCCAGAGAGGGGAAGGGGGGACACTGAGCGATGGCTGAGCTGGGCAGGGCAGTGCCCTCCTGGCTCCTGGCCAGACACTGACCGAGCTGGGTGGGGGAGGAGACTGGGCTGCAACCCACCCTGACCTCACCCTAGCTCACTGATCACCTGAGCCTTTGGGGAGAGAAAAACCAAATGAAGGGCAGAGGGGACTTACAAATCAGCCTTGACAAAACCTTTCCCTTCGGTGTCAAACACCTTGAAGGCATGGAGAATGGTCTCCTCCGGGTCTGTACCTAGAAACAGCACATACAGGCAGGGAGAGAATAGGGTGAAGAGCACAGGCCGGGGCTGGGGGCTGGGCTTCCTCCCCAACTTCCACTCCACAGTGGGAGCAAGAGAAGGGAGATTTCTGAGAAGGAATAGGAGTAACGACCAAGAGCACTGTGTGTAGTTATGAGCAGCCTGCTCAGCTGTACATGGAGACCCCAACTGAGCACTTACTGTATGCTTAACCCTCCTGATGATTGGCCTGATTTTATAGGCGAAGAAACTGAAGCTCAGATTAGTGAGGTGGGGTTGGGGTGGGGGCACTTCTGGGGCTCCCTCGTGACCCAAGATGTGCATGAGAGCTGGCAGGTCAAAAAGACTGTGCTGTACTTGGGGGCTGAAGGCTGGGCTCGAGCAGGGGCGCTGGAGGGTCTGCAAGATGGTCCAGGCCAGAGATGGGGCGCGTGGAGGACAGTGGGCTGGAGGGAGGGCAGAGCAGTTCTGGTTTGTCACCCCCCCCACCCCCCGATGTGGGCTTGGGGGAAAGATGTCATTAGAAGGAATGTCTATGACCACAACGGGATGGACTAGCTAGCCCCTGGTTGTACGGATGGGGAAACTGAGGCCCAGAGAGAGGCAGGGTCTGGCCCAAGGCCTCACAGCTATGAATGACAGCAGGCGACCTGGTGACCCTTCCCTGATGCTCTCTCCCCTCTCACACTGCCACCCTGCTCACTGCGGACCAGGCACGTCCCCTTCCTTCCTCAAGGCTCAGCTCTGTCACCAGTGACATGGAGGAAAAGGTGTGTTTGCTGCCCACCTCCCAGGGTCAGCTTGCAAAACGGGTCATTAATGGTAAAGATCGGGTCAAACACTGATGGGTCACGGTCGCAAACCCCTCTGAGTGCTCTGTGGCATGTTGGCTCCTGGGACCCCCCCCCACCCCCGCCACCAGAACACCCTGTGTGGTAGGTATCGATGTCCTCAGTTTGTCAAAGAAGGAACCGAGACAGAGGACCTTGCTTGAGGTCCCCACGAAGAGCGGGAGGAAGGGTCTGAAACCGACTCTGGACTCCAGAGCTCCCTGCTGCTCTGTGCTCCCACCTGTCAGACTGGGGCCTCCTCCCAACAGGATGCCATCTGAGTCACTCGGCGACTCTGAGGCCGAGCGAGGGGCCGAGCCTGGCTCAAGGCTGGCACCGCTGGCCTGGGATTTCGGGGAGGGCACAGCCGTGGGCTTCCTCCGCCGAGGGCAGCAGGGAGCCCGTGTGCCCAGGCCAGAGGCTCAGCCCAGGGTCCCTCTGGGGCAGAGCCCCAGGCACTCACCGCCTGGCCTTGGAAGCAGAGGGGGTGTCCCAGGGATTATGGTGGGGGGCTGGTGGGAGGCCTTGGCCTCCCAGGGCATGTGAAGAGTCCTCGCTGCTGGGGCGGGCTGGCTCCACCCCACCTTCCTGAGGACCAGCGGCCCCAGGTTCAGGCCCAGTGTCCGCACAGTGACCACAGTCCAATCCTCCCCTCTCTCCCCACAGAGAGGGTCTCTGCTCTGCGGACGGCAAACCACACAAATGAATGGGCCACAGAGTGGCCATTGGGAATCAGGTGACCAAGTGTCCTCATCCCAGTTAGAGGGATGACGGGGCCTGCTCCAGCCCCCCAGCTCCTGTCCCCACTGCTGGCCAAGTGTGCAGGCTCAGCCAAGTTCACGTGACAAGCTCAGACGGAGCCCCCAGTCCTGGGACCTGGCATGAGCCAAGCTACTCATGCTGTTTGACAAGGTCCAAGTATGGGGAACGATCCTGAAAACAGGAGACTCCACAGCTGGCTCCTGCTATTCTCTTTCATTTTGTTTATGGCAATCTTT